TGGCTCAGAGCTGAGTAAACATTAAATGGCACAATAATAAGAAGGTAAATAAACTTTTCCTCTGTGTTGTGATACAGTATAGTGGTTTGGAGAGAATTGTGTCACTCTAAATCAGGAGAGAGCAGTAGAGAGCTTCTGCTGAATCTGAGGAAAGGAAAATTAGCAGAAGTCCAAGAGCAAGAAGCATAGGAGCCCCCCACGGTTATCTAGTAAAGTCCAAATACAACATCTCAAACCAAGTAAAAGAAACAACCTGAAAAATCTTTGAAAAAAGCACAGAAAAATATGGCTCCAAGTGATGCTGACAGTCCATCTAATCCAGTTGTCTTCTCGGAGGCAGGATCTTTTCAAAGCGTTATGACAATACATTGGAGTTTGAACCCACAATCTCTTTGGCTATTATTAAAATGGCCTATCTGAAAGCAGAACAATATCAATTTCCTCTACCTGCAGGTCATTTCCAACCTGTCCTAGACTGATGAGGCAGGCTTTAAATTCATCAGAATGTAGATTGTCAGATTCATCCTAGCATCCCATCACAGGTCATGCATTTGGGAAGGTGAAAAGAAAGAAAGAAAAATCACAGATCAGCTTAGTTGGTTAGTAAAAAACATTCAACTCCTGTATTAATAACCATATTAAAACTGACTTTAAAAAAGCCTCATTGAATTCCAGGTTAAATAGCTCCTAGTAACACCACATCAAACTGGATCACTGTTTTGAATAATTTTTTTTTTTTTACATTTTGCAGGACAAGAAATTCACACTAACTTGTTAAAAACAGACCACCTCATCTTCTTCTTCCTGTACAAAATGTGTCTTATGAGAGGTGTACTTCAGATTGAGTTAACATGTATACAATTAAAGAGATGTTCTAAGATGAAAAATTATTACCCTTATTGATTTTACAGAGTGACAGTTTGGAGAAGATCCAAAGTTTTCTGTCTGTTACATATCTGCCTGCTGGATGAATAATTTATTTTTGAAAATTTCTATATAGTTATGCATAACTAAAATCATAGGAGTTTTAACAAATGTACTGGGTTTATTCAATATACTAATAGGATAAAGTGGTGCTTTATTAAGTTCATAACAGCATGCATTTTTGACATATCATGCTGTTATTATATTGAGTCCCTCTGCATCAACCTCCACCAGCTCCATAAAGGGAAGATGAAAAATAACAGTGGGAAGTCAATGACGAGAGATAAAGCAAAGCTGCAAATCTGGAGCAGCACTTAGTTAAAAGCCATAATCACAGTGAAGTTTCTTTCCTTTAACATTTCTATTTTACAGGATAATTTCTGAAATAAGGCATTCAAAATTATTTATTTTATCATTCTGAAAAGGTTAATCTAGGCTTGCTTGAAACTCTCAAACACCGTCCTGGAGACAGGCTACAGCAGGTCACACCAGGAGCAAAGTCAGCTCATTTACCTTATTTCTAAAACTGAAGATATTACTGCGTGACTGCAAACAAAATGACATAAAAATGGGAGCTAAGAACCAAATACTGTTCCTCCACCTCCTCTACCAAGTGTTGGTAGAGGACTGTTAGCTACTTGACTACACCAGGGGGGTGGGTGGTCGGTAACCAGGCACACATGGCAGCAGTAGTCGTGCCAACAGGCAGTGAAGCGCAGACATGAGTGAGGGAGACCAGCACATCTACCTAGAAACCATTTTTTTTAGGAGAGGAGTGCAGTGGTTGTACTGGAGCTCGCAACTGGCATCTGGTTAAGTGGGACTCCCCAGTGAGGGTCCAAGTAGTTGTGCCATGTGCTATAGCAGGTTCTCACATTCTAGTAGTGAATTTTTTTAATCTGCGTCATATATGGCCAAAAAAGGTATCTTTGCCTTTGCAGAGTATCAGAGTTTCATGGGATACAAAGCTATTTTGCAATTAATGCATAGATCAAGCCCATGCAAGGGCTTGCTCATTGGGAAATGATTCTTTGTATTTTTTTTTATTGTTTGCAGATCAACATTAAGCACTGAAATTAGGTTTTTTAAGCATATAAATAACTTTGCCGTGTTCATCTTTTCCTGCCAATACAAAGTAAAACATTGAAATCCCCCTCTGTGTTTCATTATTAGTCCCCAGAAATCTTTTCCTTCCCCTTTGTGATTGATATGTGGCCTTATAAAACAAGTGAGCTTCTGAGTCAAAGCAATCCATTCTTAAACATGTCCTTCAGTTTCCTGAACAGTAACTGACCTGATCATGTTGTTCATTTAATACGGAGCTGCTGTTGTTCTGTTAGTAAAATATAGGATGGCATGATGCTAACTTTCTGCATGCAGAGCTCCTACTTAAAATCTGTGGTTTGCACAAAAATCAATAGCAGAATATGTTAACAGCCATTGGGATATTACATGCAGAGCAGCTCCAGATATTTTATCACATACTTCACAATCTTATTTAGAATTTACTAAATATACTGAATCTGAAAAAGGAATCCCCGCATAAAAAGACTTCAAAACCAGTGACTGACAACGTATCTGTGTTGGCGTCCCAATTTGTCTGCATACCCTAATTCAGCTACGCACCATTTTGAACACTTTGAAACTGCTTCTGTCATTCAGACAGTGTCCCACTTTCTCATTTTTTCTCCAAGCAGTCACATTAAGGAAGGAAATATACCAGCGTTGCTGAAGTTTTATATTTATACCTACAACTAGACTGTGCCCTCCAGCACAGCCTCCTTCAAAAGGCAGTGGGTAAGTAGCATCATCCTCAGGAATAAACTCTGGGGCATCAGCACGCGTACATGCATGTTGGAAACACAAGAGCCTGGAGGGCTGCCCCCTTGTCCCAAGCGAGGCAGTGTATTTACCACTTGCCTTTAAGAAAGATGACTTGTAATGGTTTCTGTGCTAGCACATCTCTGCTGGTGGAGGCATGGAAAGAAACACAACTCTTCTTGCCCTTGTAATTCTTAGGTGCATGGTGCCCACTTACTCACTGCAGTTTGAGAATCAGGGGCATGTAGCCCCCAGAAAAACTCTTGCAAAATACCAAATAGTTTTCTTTCAAATATTCAAGATATAGAAGCCATTTAAAACAATTCACCCAATTATTTAGCTCTCTTTCAAAGGATTAATAACTGCAGAATTAAGCTCCATAATGGATTATGAACTGTAAGATTTATTTTTTTTAAATACATTCTGCCTGGGGAGGAAGATAGGGGTTCCTTCCTCAGATTTATAAGCAAAGGAAGATGTTTCTAGAAGCACTGTATAGAAAGTTGTTAGGTTTATGTGTACCAAAATACATGCTTTAAAATGGGGAAGGGAGCTACTCTGTGTATTAGTACTTGACTGACATCCTCAATATACATTAAGAGTCAAACATTAAGATATGTGTTAAAGTGGAGAAATGCCATGGAAGTCAGAGCTATAGCATGGATAAATGATTCTGTTGTGATTAGGTATTTAAAGCCTGCTCGTCAGGGACAGTATTAATTTGTGGGATCTTTTCTGACTATTCATTATTGTGAATAGCAGTCCTATTCTTTCAGTATATTTTTTAAACTATGTCAGGCATTCAGAAATGCTGCTAAGCATAACAAAATTATTACATATTACATCTGACATGGAGAAGCCAGTATTTTTCATGTTGGTGCTTACGTTCAGATGATCCAGTTTCATCTTCATTTCTATTTAAGGTAATCAAGACCATAAAAGAATCTATTACTGCCTTCTCCATCTAAATTCCAAGTTCAGAGTCTTCATTATTTTGTGTACCCTGCAGTAACTCTGAAGGACCCTGGGTTTCCTTTATTCACCAACACTAAATATTCGAGTGTGCAAGGACATAAGAAGGATATAAAAATGAAAAAGAAGCCTGCCTCTCTCAAACATGTCTGTTCAATGACTCTTTTTAGCCTGTGTAGATTGAGTCACATCTGCCCATTAAATTACAATGTAATTTAATCGGTATAAGCTTCTCTTTTATCAGTGTTTCTGCTATCCGTCCCCTGCAGAAAGCCTGGCTTGATGGCTGAGTGGTTTTAGATCTTACCTTCTTCCATAACTTGCATTATGCTACTAAGAACATAATCATTGCACCATGTCAGTCCTCCTAGACCAATTTCCCATGTCTGATGCTAAGGGAAGGGGTATACTAAAGGCAGCATATACCCAATGCTGTGATCCTTCCAGGCCTCTTTTTTAAGGCCTTTGGATTCGATCTGTCATGGGGGAAGCTGAAGTCTGCAGCTAAACTTGCAGTCCAGGCTGAGGTTGTTGAGGCCATAGAAACTGATGAATCACCTATCTCCTTCTGCTTCTGACCCAGCGACTCATGCTTCCTGCAACAGAAGCAAGGGCAGAAGGGACACTGCCTGAAGCCATGACTTGTTATAGCCTGAAGAAAGGAGACGGCCATAGATAGGCAAGGATCTAGGAGCTGGGAAGCACTTCTGTGTTGCACATGATTGACATAGCCCATCTCCCACCTGCCTGCAGCTATGTGACATGAGCGCCCTCTTCCAGGCCGTACAACCTTTCCTAAGGCCTTGCTCTATTGTATCCTTTGGTATCGCAAAACCAACTATATCTGAAAAGCCTAAAGATCCATAACAATAGGGCTGGTTGGTGTAAGATTTAGCTTCTCCCTTCAAGACCTTCTGAGGCACCAAGAGATGCCTGTAATATCTCCTCAGCCACTGAACCAACCTTGCCATGAGCATGGCAGAGAACTCATCTACAAACTACAAAGATACAGGGATGATAGACATGGCCATCTAGTGTAAGGTATACTAGGATTCAATCACCTTGCTTCCTTATCTTTAGGGAGCTGTCAAACCTTTGTGCAAAGGGTCTCTAAAATAGCGGCGTGTAATTTATCCAACCTTGGTACTCTGTCTGCTTTTAATAGCTCTAATTGCTCAGTTATCTGCTTCAGTGCACTGGGAAAGCCATTTCGTATGCTACTTCCTTCCACCCCAGGAAATTTATTTCTGATTACGTGATGTTATCTTCTGCTTCTTTAGAAAATGCAAAAAGGAATTATGCTAGAATTATGCTAGAAATTAAGATTTTCCATAAAATCTGTTCCTGGTTCCTGTGGAACTAACCTTTCCTATGCTTGTGTGTTTCATCAAAAAGCAGAGGTTTGGCAATTCTGCTTTTCTTCCCAAACAATTAAGGATATTCTAAAGAGTATTTAGCAAACTATGACTATCAGCATCCAATGCACATCAAGTATAAGTCTGGGTAACCATTTTGAGTAGAGCTGGACAAACAGGATATCAGTGAAAAGAAAGTATAGCCTGAAATGATTTAAAGGAGCCAACTTGTGATAACAGAATATAAGTCAGGGGTTAAGCAGAGTCTGCTAACTAAAGGGAACAGCCTGGTGCTGCATTATGGTAATCTTTTTTCAGTATTTGAAATGTGAACTTGGTTTTGAAGGTGGGTTCATGCAAGCACAGAGCCAGCAGAGCTGACTTATGTACAGATTGTTCTCCAGCTGAGAATGTCAGGTCCCTGTCTGCATGTATTTTGCTACTGTGTCTATTAACAGCTATCTTTTTAACCCTCTATCCATGAATACTGCATAACTCACCGAAGAATTGAGTTAAGTTTCTTCACAATAGTGTTTTCATTCCTACTTTTTTATTCATCCATGATTAGGTAAGTGAAAAAACCAGCCTCTTATTTCCCACATACAGCCACAAAAATAAAGGATTTTCCTTGACAGCTATCAGTGCTTCAGCTATATTCCCTACAAATCTATTTCTACAGGAAAAATTGTGATTAAAAGAAAAAAAAACCCTGTAATCCAGATTACAGCTAATTTTAATGAGATGGAAGATGCTGGCAAGTACACAGAACATGCTGCACTGCCTTAAAATAAAAGAGCATGTTATTTTCCAAAACATACAGATTAATCCAGTTCTGCCTGCTATTTGAACAAATACTCAACCATATTAGCAGAACTATAATTTTGCAGTACATTTAAAGAGTAAAAATTAATTTAACATATCTGGACAATGCTATGATTTCATAAGGCTGTACATTCTTTGTTAACTGATCTTTTTTGCTGTTTTAAAAAGAGCCCATTGCTACTGCATTCACAGTTTTTTTGAAAGGCTTACATGAGGAATGAAAAGGAACTTGCTTTTGGGAACAATAAAGATTGGTAGCTGAGAAAAAGCAGGAGTACTGTACCCTGTCAAAATGATTGAATGATGCTCTGAAGTCATTCATTTGTTCCTGGGTGATACCCTTGGCATCTCTTGTGAGGATCTGAGTCTCGACCTCATTGATAGTTCGAGCAATGGTGGTAAGTAGGAGCTCCCATCCAACACGGATGTGCTATGAGAGAGAAAATACTGATTTATTAAAGAATTAAATATATTCTTCTAAGATTATAAAAAGTACAGTAAGCAAAAAATCAGCTCTAAATATTTATGTGATACCTTTTCCATACCACTAACTCTATATTATGACGAAGAATCATTAAAAATAAAAATGGCCTTCAGAAGAATATGGAAATGGTTTCTAAATGGGTACTTCTTTGCTAAAAGTGAAAATAACTGAAAATAAAACAAGTCTTATGAGATTATCAGAAAGTCTGCCAAATTCCATCCTCTGCTGCAGTCTCTTCAGATCAGGGAAGGTAGTTTTATGGCAGAAGAGGGCAGAATAACCTAACAAGTACAAAAGGGAGTAAATGGCTACCTCCATAGTATAGTTGGTGTGCTTGTTGTCAAACACCAGGGCTTCTTGTATAAGCTGATGATCTCCCTCCAGTTTATCAATGTTGTGTTTATAATTAATGATATTGTGCTCATATTGCTTCAGCTGATTCATCTGGTCCTCCAAAGGCCCTGTCATTTCAATAGAGCTGCGGGCAATTTCCTGTCAAAAGAAACAAAGACACCCCCCACGCCACAAAATTTAAGCTTCAGATTTGCTAATCTGACCAATGTTCACATAGATATGTAATATTTTCATACTAAGAAGCAATAGTAATAAAACCTTCATACAGTGGAGACAATAAATTTTACTGTAGAAAATACATTTCAAAAGAAATGTGGCATATTTATTTCTGGAATTAGTATTGGGACCCCAGCAATCCTGGTATCTTCCCTTTACAGAAAGCAGAAGCTAACCAGTAATTGTTTAGTGATTGATTTTTCAAAGCCACATCTCCTGCCCACCATCAAGGTAACATTTGTACAAGTTTTCAGATTTTTAAAAATCATCTTAACAGGTGGTAAATACTTCAGGATCAAAGAGCTGGTGAACTATTATGGAGATTGCTGTTGTCCTGTATATAAAGCAGAGATAAAAAGTTATAAACCACTTTGTTCACCAGCTTCTGCATGAGGGTCTGACACTTACCTCCATCTTGGTCTGGATCCATGGCCCAATGACATTGGCCTGAGCAGCAAACTGGCGACGCAGGCGCTCGTTGGCATGCTGGCGAGCTAGTTCCTCCTGCAAGGATTGATCCCTCTGAGGCACCAGCTGCTTCACCTGTTACAGTGGGAAAGCACTAAGTGTGAGGAGGCACAACTGAATAGTTTAAAAACAAATGGAACAAATAATTCTACAGTTACTAATTTTTCTTAACTGGCCTGAAGTTTGAAATCAGAAGGACAAGCCGCAAACATGATCACTATTTTATTTACCAATTCTGTGCTAACATAAGAAATTGCTAACATGGTCTTGGGCAGCCTGACCAGAGAGACTGACATGGAGAGAGAAGAAATTCTCACCTCTCGCTGGATTGAAGTTCAAGACAATTATTTAACTTGAACGGCTACTAGAGCAGTTGTTTTGGTTTTCTTTTGAAACACAGGTGATTTTTCAGTCTCTAAATAATTGTTCTAAGAATAGTTGGTGCAAAACATTTTATTTGAGCACAGCCATTACAACTGGATAACGAGACACATTCTGTCCATCATGTATATCTGAAGGTCTCTAATACATTGCGAATGCTTTTTTTGGCTTACCCTCTGGATTGCCCAGGGAGATTCTGAATTTAGTCCTTATTGCTTGGTTTTTATAACCCATTGAGAGTGTGTTCTTGGCTGTGTAACTTTATGTATTTTGTAAATTCATACATTCTACACAATCATTTATCTTTGTCATATTATCTGTTCCTAAAGAAATAAAGTTTGTGTGGTTGCTCTAGGACCCTCTCTTTAATCCCTCCCCAGTAGTTTTTTAAGGTAATTGCCAATTTCAGTCTAATTGGACAGAATATTAATGGTCCCAAAGATACTAATTTTTTACATGTGTGAAAAGCAGCAGCTGGGTAGAACAGACACACGAACTACTGTTGATAGTGCAAGAAAGAATACAATCATTTCCTGTTCTTTGGACAGCACCCCTTGACCCATTCACTGGCCAACAACCAGTGCACTAGCCCCAATACATGCTTATCTTGCCCCGCCAAAAGCCAAAAAGGACATAGGTAATATTGAGTGATGGGAGCAAGGGATATTGTAAAGCAAGCCTAGCAAACATAAGGGAGGGTATAAGATACTGTAGAAAGTTCATTCTGGCACCTGATGATCCAGAATAATTTACAGACGTAATGTAAAGTTCTCTGAATATTCTCAGTATTCCTAAACTAGAATACTATATTACAATGTCTTTCATGTATTTAGCATACATTACCTTTTCCCACTTGCTACGAATCTCTTCCACAGTAACAGTGCTGTAAGGATTGCTTGCACTTATTCTCATGCTGTAACTCTGGATAACTTTTTCAACTTCATTCTGGATTGACAGTATGGCCTGTCTTTCACCATCTGCCTCTGGCAAAGTAGCTTTAAATTGATCATGTGCAGAGATTAAACTCTAAAATCAGAAACAGAGAGGGAAAGCATGAAAACTTCAATGTTTCTTCCAACACGTGGAAGATCTGTTGTAAATAAGCACAGCTCCTCTCTCAGCCTCTCAAAAAACGCCATCTACATGTATCTGTAGATAAAGGAAATAATTCATGAAACAGCCCTCATTGACTTTATCAGGACCGTCGCTTCTTCCATGATGTCTGGAATAAGTTCTCATACCAATGAAGAATGCTCTTTATAATAGAGCAGACATTGCCTATCACAAAGAAAATGTCAATTCTTACACGTGTTCTACTCTCCAAGAAGCAAAAGCTTCCTTTCTTATTTTCCCTATGACTGTAAGCCAAAAAATAGACAACCATTTACCTGAATTTCTTCTATGCTATGAACAATAAACATGTCCTGTAGGTCTTCCATAGCACCTTCCATCCAGTTGTTGAAAGGAGCAGCTCTTTTGGCAAACTCCAGGTGAAGCTGATCAATTGTTTCGAGCAATTTCTCTGTCCTCTGTACAGGTTGAGAAAGGTACATTCCTTTGTTACTAGAGCAAGACCTAACTCCCCACACCCACCCATGCACAAAGTCATCCCTCATTTTTTCAAAAGCAATTGATTGTATTGTTAACTGATTTCATCACATGCTTTAAGGATTCTCACTCAAGGCAATAGGACTAATTGCAGTTAAGATACTCTCATAACGAACATGTTGAAAGAGGTGTATGCCTTTGAAGGATAACAGGCAAAATTACTTTTTCACTACTGATATTTTAAGTATTTTTGTTATTGTGATCCATCTGCAAATCAATTAAAATCCACTAATCTTGCTTTAGTAATTTCTTGTAAGTATCAAACAGAAGAGTTAGGCATATGTTTTCCACCTTGGCATACAAGTGTGTGACTTCCTCTTTCCTTAAGGAACAAGGTTTTGGAAAGTATCTCAGTGCTTTGGAATACTCACTACCAAAAAATTAATGTAGTGCTGGCCATTATCCTGTACCTCACCTGACTAAGCTCAGACAAGTATGAAAACATAAACACCCAATGGCTTTTGTTATCTTTGCTGGACATCAAATTCCCAAAGAGTGGTGCTATGAACTGCATGCCATTTGTTGCTGCTTTAGAACTGGCCTTGGCAGCTCAGCACTGTCAAGTCTGCTGTGAGCAATTCAATCTGTTTGCAAATGAAATCACAACAAAATGAAATGGAGATCTGAGGAAAAGGTTTATTGTTGTTTGGATTCCAAAGTGGATGCTCAATGGCCCTGTTTCCAGATCTGAAACAAATAGCTTATTCCCCCCTCCCTGCCTCAGATGAGCTGCTGATCATTGTTAGATGGTTTACCTCCAGTGCCTCCCTCCTTTTCTGAGTAAGTGTTCCCAGGCTGTCCCATTGGTCACATATCTTTTGGCATCTATCATTGACACTTGCAGCATCATGGTAGTCCAGTTCACTAAGAAAGAGTGAAGACAAAAATCTGTGTGACTTGCTGAAAGACAGGAGCAGTTGCATTGTCCCTAATCTTCCACTGGCCCTCCTTCCCCTCTTATTTGCAGATAAGCAAGTGTTGCAGTACAGACCTGCGTGATCTAGACATTCAGCATTTCAAGAAGCACAGCACAGGAACAGGATCAACCTCCTCTGTTGTGACAAAAATCAAGTATCCATCTGTGACATCCAGGATTTAAAGACAGTTATGGTGTCTAACCACCTTTGTCTCAGCTATTCCTGTGGCACAAGCAATTTGATCTCCTGAAGACCAGAATGTTTCAGTCTGGGGCTTTATCAAGTTTCTGAAGATTGGCACAGTTTTAAATTAATTGGCCTGAAATATACATTGCATTTTAAATAATCTAATGACCCTTTCCAGCCTTATATGCTCTGAAATTATTTAACTGAGAAACAGACCTCAGGTTGCATTCAAAGCACAATCTCTCTTACAGGCCTGGCAGTACTAATAGGGGCTGCCCAGATCTGGGGCACAGAGAACAATTTTCATCTTCCTCTCCAGGAGCTCCTCACAGAGCTACACCCTAGAACCGGCTTGTTCAGAGAACAGGAATTTCTAGATCCACGTATGCCACCAGCACAAATCAGTGTACCCACAAAGGATGTAGCAGCTGGCATTGCTTTTTCACCTGCTAAATAGGCTTATATTATCCTGACAGAAAGCAACTTATTATTCTGCCTAAGACTGGAATAACTTTTTAAGGCTCTGTCCTGAGATTCTGCACCGAGTCTGTCTCAGACTGAATTTTTGACCTCAGTGGCAGATAATCCCCTTGGTTCTGCCACAGTCATCATGACCATAATAAAATATATGTGTTTGGCACTTTGGAAGCTCACTTTTTTTGGTGTATCATCATCCACTGAATTTAGCTTTTGGCTGCTCCTTGAGGATGCTTTGTCCAGTACTAAACCTGGCAGAGATTGTGATTATGTGACAGCATAGCAATATGAAGCTAAGATTTACTTTAAGGCTTCAATAAGGCATTAAATGCAGATAGAATCTGTTCCCTTCTTTTGAACATTCTTCTCTAGGCAATTGACAAGAGGGACGTACAGATCACTTCCACCAGTAACTTAGAGAATCACAGAGGATAAAATGAGAACAGAGGTCGCTTTCCTCTGTGAAGCTACACTGTAGACCAGGGGCAGTGTTCATGCTTCCTCCTCTAAGCTCAGTCACAGCAATCTGGTTTGGGATAAAGCTGAGAAGTGAGTGAACCATTCTGTTTAAAGGAGGCTTCAGAAGTGCTGCAATCAGTGGACTGTTGAAAGTGAAGAATAGTAAAACAAGTAAGAATAAAATGCCATAACAATTTTTAAAAATAGCAGAACTGTTAAGTGTAAGGAGAAAGCTGCCAGCAAGCCATACTATATGAGGGCTCCTTAACTCGAAAACTTGCTTCCTCCTTTAGAGCAAGCCTTTTTGTTAGCCTTCAATGGATGCAACAAAAACCATCTAATTGTTAAGACACTTCTAAGTCGGAAGCATGGAGTTTTGGATGAAACAGGCTGAGATACATTTTACCACTATGAGTTTTTGGCTGGAAGTTTGGTTTTTTTCATTATAGCACACTGAGATTATTAGATGATGTTCCTATGTGAGCTCACTACGTGGATGAGATGTGGGGATTTGTATTCTGGTCTCTTTTTGCATATCAAATCTAATATACCAGAATATGGACAGGATATTTTTCCACATACTCCAGGTCACATCCCTGGGAGTACTGCAAATTTTATTTTTGCTTCAATCGATCACTTATCTCCTTTTGTTGATTAGGGCAGGTGTCCTCCATGAAAGTGAGGGACTGATTGTACCAGCTCTGGTCAAAGTCCTGGAAAGTAATGTGCAACATTCCTCCACCAGCTCTGCCAGGGAGGTTCAGTCATTCCCCATAAGATCTCTGCTATCCTATTTCTTCCAGGGTTATGTGCTGTGGACAAATAGGTAGGAGAATAATATTATCAAACCAACTTTTTGAAAGGGCACCCATGGGTCAAAAATCGTAAGCTAGATCACCAAGTGGCATTAAGCAGTGTAGCTCCACTGCCTTTCTGGGCCTGCTGTAGTTTAATGCAAATAAGTGAACTTTGCATGAAATTCAATGAGAATTCAACGTGAAATTCAATTCAGTAAGTGAATAAATGTGAAAGAACATTTTTCTGCTCAAAGCAGAAGAAGAAGAAATAACAACTCATAGGAGATTATTTACTTGGAAATAAAACATAGCTTTACATTCCTTGTCCTATTAATTTTTATATCTCTCTCAACACTGAAGCTGTGAGAAGACTAGATCTCACATTTTGTAAAAAGAAGTTGTGCTTATCAGGCATACACAAAGTACTGCTGCACATGTGTTACAGAGCTTCCAAGAGAACAATCATTTCTATTTGTTTGGTTATTTGAAATCTACAGCCATTGGAATTTAAAAATCATTAAGGTATTCCCATTGGTCTTACCAGTAGTTCAATCTTATCTGTAAAGAATTAGAAATTTAGTCAAATTTTGTCCTGATCCATAGAAGCACTCCAGTATGAGATCACTTTAGGAACAGTGATAGTGTCACAAAAATAACCTGCTGAGCAACATACTTTAGTGCTGCTTCAGAACCAGGCTCATGTTAATCATGCATGTAAGCACAATTTGAGCCCAGAAGCAAAAAGACTCTCCAAATCAGTATTACAGATAGCGGTCATCTTGGCTGAAAATAAGTTGCTATACTAGAAGTGATGGATATGCAAGAAACTACATTCCAAGAATTTTACCTTGATGATTGAAAGCATTGAAATGAGCATACAAGATCATAAATGAATATGGCACTTTATATCACAGCTCACTCAAGTTCTGTTTAGCATTTGCTATGTCATAAATGGCAAATCCCATTTTAGAAATGCCTGACTTTTTCCAGCTTTGTATATAGCCTTATCCAAGCCTTGCCATGCCTCACTGCCAAGGATTTCAGTCTATACAGTCAGGAACACAACAATCTTATAGCAGCATCCTGGCTGGAATCACCTGCTTGAGCACACACACAAATCCTTTATCTTAACAGCACCGATCAACAAGCTTTTAGCAATTTTAACCTTAAGCACACAGTGGACTGAACTGTTGCAGCAGAAAATATCAGAACAGACAGGAAACTGTAACTGGTAGAGTGCAAAGTCACACAGCAATTGTTCTCCTTTCAAATAGCAACATTAGGCAGCCAGGAGATTGACTAAAACAAAACATGGAAGTGTACTGACTTGGGATTTAGACACAGATGATGATGATGTCTGTAAGGGCCTGATCCAGTGCCAAAAAAACCCCCAAGAAAATAATACCTACATTGACTTCAAGAGGCTTTGTATCAGGTGCCAATACACATTTCCTAGCATTCAGACATTAGTCAATCCTTCTTTAAAAATATAAATGGAGAAAGAAATTAGTGTTTTCCTCCATAATTTCACTGTGTGACAAATTACATATAAATTACTGCCCATTAGCTTGCAGCTAATAATAAAACTTGACCTTTATTCAGTGTTCTCCAAGGACATTAAGCCTAACTGAGCTACTGAGTCTCAGTGAAAAATCAGGCACCGATAGCCCCATTGTATGGAGAAGCAGAGAAATCAAAGTAGAGCATCTCTAAAAGCAATGGGTTTTCAGCACCTTTGCAGGCCAGGCCACAAATAACTTGTTTAACTTCACACAGCAAATTACTGAAACAACTGAGAAGAGACAATCCTAAAATAGACAGGATACAGTGTTCACTGGCCTCACCAGAGGTAAAGGACACAGGGTTCAAAACGCTGGTAAGCAGATGCTGTGCTATGTATACTACATTCCCAAAGTTTCTCATTGCTTGTAAAGTTGAAGCTGAATTAATGATTATTAGGTGTTTCAGAAACTTTCTTCAGTATAAAGAGGAACAAATAACTCCACAACAGAGATCACGGCATGAAAGAAGGTGTTTCATAAGCTCCCATATTCAGTGAAATCTCCATTCTCTGTGTTTTTCAGACTTCTTTCACACTAACTAAAAACCAGTACTTACTCTGCTTTACTTTTTCTCCCTTAAATAATCTTGAAAAATAGAATTTTTCTTGTATATCCATTTCAATTATACAATTACTGTAAGTGCTACTGCTATCAGGTATGAACTACAATTTTTAGACAACTCTGATTTTTAAATTGTTAAAGGATATGGAGCTGTTTATGAGTCATGGTCCTTCAACAAAGTGAAAAGAGGGCATGTTTTCAACACTTGATTTTTAAGTAGTAACTGTTTTGCCTATTCAAGAAGATGAGAAACTAAAACTTAGAGAGCTGAAGCCATGGGCAGGAATCTGAGAATTTTGATCTTGGCTCCTGTTTTGACCACTACCGCACATTTGTTCCTGTTGGCTTTACAGATTTATACTGCCCGTGAGCAATGAATTTAAGTACATGCCAAATTGCTATGATCAGGAGTAGCACCACCGATTTACAGTACAAAACCACTGCAATTAACTGCATAAGATTATAAAACCAAATGTGCTTAGCTTGGTGTACGTGCCAAGATGACTTTACCAGAACAGGCACATCAGTATGTAACACTACAGTCCTGTCAGTGTGGGCAGAGCTTTGCTGACAAAACTGTGCTGCCACAAACAAAAGCAAGCTCCACTGATAGAGTTTAGCCAGGGTAGCTGCATCAACACTCAGGACTTCTGCTGCCTTAAGGGTGTCTGTCAGTCAGGGGCTTTGACTTTTCACATCCCTGACCTATGTAGCTGATGTCAACAATACAGATGTACCCTAAATGTTGCAAAATTGTTCTCAGCTTTGGTTGTGTTCTCTCTGGGCATAGTATGCTGGGTGATCAAGTGTTGGTGCTGTGGCTAAGCTGATGGAACTGTAGGTGAAAACTCTTGCTCTCCTATATGAGAGCTTCTGTGCTTGATTGCTTGTGTACCCATATGCCCCACTGCCCTTTCTGCAAAATGGTGACAATGGCACTTCCAAATATAATATGAAGAAATTGTGAAAATAAGTAAACTAGAGACAGTTAAATCTTCAGAAAAGTCAATGCATTACCCACTACAATAGAGATAATTTAGGGATGTGAAGACTTTTGAAAGGACCAATATACTTGTGGGAAAATACCTGATTGTAAAGTGAAGATGCTTGATCCATAATTTGTGCAAATGAAATTACTTTCTAAGTGAAAATAGCATAGCCAGTGCCTCTCAGCAGACCATACGAACTGAGAAATTAACACCTCCAGCATTCCCATCAACACAAAACGGACTCATCAGTAGAGCTAATGCTAAAAGATTACTGTTAAGTCAATTTTAAAATGCTTATTTTCAAATAATTTTGGTCAGTTCAATATCTATATTTGGTTGGGGGTAAGGGGGAGATGAGGGAAAGGTCTCAGTGACCAGCTCAGATAATATACTTATGAAGCTATCTCTGGAATTCTTATGTTGGTACCTATGACGCTATCAAATTCATTGGAAAGAGTTTATCGCAAAGTTAAATGTCAGCAGCTGCAAGCCTTTAAATGGAACATACTTCAGCTCCTGGGCAATGGCAGCGATCTGTTCCACCCTGTCCTGGTGAGCAGCCAAATCGCTCTCAAAAGCTTCATGTTTCCTTAACATGGCGCGGACTTCTGTCAGAGAAGCAGATTCATAATCCTTCTGAAGTAAGATCTGCTCTTTGCCTGAAAGAGGAAATTAAAATATTAGTAATTTTTAACTAATTTATTGGTTTAGAACAATTGCAAATTCAGTCAACTTTTTAAACTGAGGTGTGGTGAAAATCACATATATGAGATGAAGTCCCACCCCAACTGAAATCAGTAGCAAATTGTCAGCACAACGGTGTTAATTAGAAATATATATTTTTAAAGATCTATCAGTAATTCCTTGATTTTTCCATAGGCTGCTTATACTGGTCTAAACCAGCAAGTATTACATTGCTTGAGAAACTGGCATAAAAATGGTATACTGCCAAAAACTGAGGCTTTATACTATTGATTTAAGCCTTTTGTAGACTTATGAAACCAGAAATCACACTGCTATGCACAGCTTCACTCTTACTAAAAAACTAGTACTGATCAGTGTTTTCTGATAATACATAATTACTCAATTAACTAGTTTAACTGAATTGAGGGGACACTGGGGAATAAACACTAACATTCTCATCTCACACAGGGATCATGTGGGGGAGATGGGAGTGCAGGGCATTTGTCATTATTGCAAAAACAAATTCTAAAATTTCTATCTTTAGTTTGATTTAAACATTGCTTTTAATATGACATAAGACACCAGCTTTGCAGAAGGGGCTGTGGAGGGACGTTCATAGCAGCACACACCTGCGAGTGTGTTTTCTCTTTTTCATGTTCTGCCCTCAATTCATTATTCATTTCAGCACTTAAAAAAAAAAATTGAGATGCGTGGCTGCCTTTTGTACTAAACACTAAATTTTAAGTGGAAAATGCCAACCTATTTACAAAAGGCTAGAGAAGCAAAGAGGAAATCAGAAACTGAAATATTACTCCTCAGTAGTTCCTGTGTTGGACAAGCGAATCTGTACAGACATAGCTGTTGAGCAGCTCACTGCATGGCATTACACAGCTCTGTGAATTCTAGAGCCAGAAGGGACTATTGTTTCACTTGCTATGTACCAGCTTATGTGAAGTTTTCCTTGCATAACAGCCATAACATGCTACCATGAGTAGTTTATGCTCAGAAAATAGGCTCTCAGGGCTGATAAATACTGTAGTTTCCCTCCTAGTATCTGCTTAGCAGCCATTTACAGCCTTGTACGCTTCCAGCAACTGTGTTACAGGATGGACTCTTTTACTTTCACAGTGTGAAAAGATTCTAGCTGGAAAAAAACAGGAGCATGGCAGAAGCAGGAAGACTGTTGTCAGGGCAAACAATAGGATGATAGATCTGCTCTATGCTTCATGGTCCCTAACAAAATTGTATGCTGGTGTATGGTCCTGTAGCTGTTACAAATGCATGTAAGGAAGGTTAGGTTACCATAAAGAAACAGAACTATAAATGGGGTACAATCTAGGGTATGGAGCAAAGCTGAAATTAGTCCATTATCATGTAGTTTATGTGGATTATTCAAAACATCATGATGGCCAAATGATAATAAACTCAGAATAACTCTGCTAATAAATTCACACTTAACAGTAGCATCACTGCATTCCTGGTTAGATTGCTAGTGTACAAACGCATTAGCAGTAATGGCCTCTATTCAAATGCGGAATATTCCCATTAAGTTTGACTCGCTACCTCAAGAGTATGATTTTTACAGTTACATTTCATTAGCAACATGCCTACAAATTAGGATCATGACTATAGTCAACAAAACCTGCAATTTTATCTGTTATTATTTTAGGTTTCTAAAACTGTCCAAACTACTCACAAGTGAGTTTCTGGCTGGCAAATATTCAGCCCCAACAGTTCAACCTTGAACATTAAAACATTAAAATGTTAAAAGCCATCTCTGCTCACCATATGCCCACTGTTCATGAGTGGAAGCCTTTTGCCTGAATTTCTCAGCCAAGTGTTCAAGTCTTTCCAGTCTTCTAATTTCATTCAGCAGCCACTCTTCGTAGCCTTTCTCAGCTTGTTCAAGTCTCTGCCAAGCGCCAGCAATATCCTGTGAAGAGAATACACAGAGGGGATGAAACTATAATCTCTTTTTATCCAAATTTGCAGATTTCTGATTCATTCACAGTTTTGCTCCAAAAAGAGAAGTTTTTATGTCCAGTTTTTGTAAAATCAGAGAATCATAGAAAATGTTGTCAGGCAACTCAGGAAGTCTTGTAGTCCAGACATCTGCTCCTAATAGTGTGCTCTATTCAGGAGGGTTCATGAAAGGAACTCCTATACAAATGGCTTCCAAGCATAGCTATACATTCGGTGTCTTCTCAATATATTGCTTTTACCTCCCATTTTACAACGTGCATGTTCTGTTATGGCATACCTATCTTTTACCAAAATAAATGTGCTTTGCTCTTGGAAGTTGACAATAGCAAAATTATTAGTGTCAAGAGGATTTGATTCGTATTTTATCTGGAATACAAACTCATTTCACTTTCTGTGGTGCACAAATTTTTGTGAGTTTTCTTGGAAACTCAAAGGCATGAGTAGGAAACTGAAGTGTCAGGCCCCTTATTTTCTGCGTATGGCGAGTGGACAATGTCCCTTTTCAGATAGTGCAATCATCTGTTTATCAAATCTGAGCAACGAAAACACAATGACAGAATGGAGTACAGAAACAGGTTTGCAACATTCCACAGGAAATGTTTTGGCCCCCAATCAACTCGCAATACTTATCAGCAGATGAGAATTCTTGGTACTGACTATTCTTATCTTCACAGACATAAGCAAAAGCAAAATGTAATTTTAAAAAGTAGAAAAAAGCAGAAACATATATTGAACAGTGTCTGTTTCTGTAAGTCTAATGACCAAAATGTCAGTGAAACCATGTGAGTTTTGCTTAAATAAACTTGCTTAAACATTTGGCCTCACTGATAAAGACGTATTGATAACACTCCCAAAGGAAGGTCTGTTTGTCTCACATCTCAAGGCAATCTGCTCTTGGGGAAACCCTTCAAAGAGGCAGGAGCACGCTTAAGAGAAAGCAAGATTCTAGAATGAAAGGGAACTTGTAAAAAGAGAGGCTTGGTATTGATAAAGTGCAACAAACTGAAGTTTCTGAGGATGACTTAAAATGGCATTTCAATCCTTCACATTGAAATTTTTGTGAGAACATTGTAAAAAGGAGAATGGAATATTGATGCCTCCTTTACTTACTGAAACCATTTTTCCCTCTGATGGCATGAAAGCTGGCCGATTGCTGATTCTCAGTTTTGTCTGCAGGGTGTTGAAATTGATCTCCAGTTGACATTTCTCTTGGACTTTGGGAGGTTTGTGTTTGCGGCGGTAGTCCCGGAAATCCTCTAATTTCTTCTGCATAGCCTGCATTGTTTTTTCTGGGGTCCTGTTTTCCAGCCAAGGAATTGTCCGGCGAATCCATTCTAAAAGCTTTCAAACCAACACAAACAAACAATTAAAATAAAGGTAATGGAAAATCAATCAAAGAAAGATCATATTGAATGCACAAATCCTAATCAAGTTTGCACTATTTTAATATTATTGGTGTCAGCACCATTGGTATCAGTTGGTATGAGCACCTTAATGGCAAATAAGAACAAGATTTTCAAAGCTGAACAATACTTTTTTACTAAATTATCCAGATATTCTAGGTATTTCTAGAAATACCCTGATTTTCAGAAAGATGAGTACAGATGTAAGGTGTCTCTAGCTGTTTACTCAAAACCTGCTTTGTTACCCAAAACCACTTGCCACTTTCAAAAGTATTGGTCTTGATGTCTCAAGTAGTCATGAGATCAAGACAGACACCAACCAACTCAGGTCATATAAAAACCTTCACTCAGAAGTCCGTTAGTGCCAATGTAGCACTACTGTCTTTTTGTTTATGATCTCAGTATGTTTTTGCAGGTTATGCATTAAAGACAAGGGAGCTCTCACTTGTGCACTACACATCTGCAGTCCTGCATTAACAAATTTGCCATTTACCAAGAAAGGACAGGAGGGCACAATGTGCCCCCTTCTTCATTCATTTGCTGCCTGTGTTCGCAGTTACATTGTGAACACCCTGAGAAACCCTGTCCCGGTATGCTTTGCAGTACACGAAGCCAGTGGGCTTCCTTGGACTGACAGGATCCTATATGTTCCACAGGACAGCTATGTTTGGAGATTACAGAGACAGCAACCCTGATCTTGGGGCAGACCAGTGACAGTCCTCAAAACTCCCTTTTTAGCATGTTAATGAGACTGAGTGACTTGCTGAATGGCACACAGGAAGTCTGCAGCAAAGGGGTCACCTGAACCTTGACATCTTGTGCAACTGAGCTCTGCACCCTACCACCATAAGATTTACCCGCATAGTGTCTTCACTTTGCTATCTTGCAGACAGTGCATGAATTTTTCAGCTTTCAGTATTTCATTAATGTAATTATCACCACGTTACAAATATGGCTGTCTACCTCACTTGCTAGTCTCTCATACTCTTCCATCAACCTCTCGTTTTCCTGATTCACAGCAAGCACCTTACAGATCCGGTTAGCTGCAGTCTCAGCCTGTAAAACACAGCAAATAAACAGAACATATTCATAAACACATTCTGAGAAAGGTACAGGCTTGGATAAAGAATTGGCTGCTGCAAATAAAAATCACATTGTTTTATAGTTATTGATTTGCGCTCCTGCTCCTAGGTTACTTAGATATGTATTTACCCTCCTCCTGTAGTCATAGATTCCAATGGCCTGAATGAAGGCACAGATCTGCACAGAAGTCACCTCGTTGTACAATGAAGCCTTATTATACAAGGGGGAATTTCACACTGCTATTGGAGTTGTTTAATAAATCTCTTATTTTCAAAGATGACTTAGGCCATTCTTAAAGTTATTAGGTTAATTTTTTTTTAAATCACACCAAAAAAGTATTAGATTTGTTAGCCATGCTGGAAAAACATCCCATGTGATTCAGAAGTCCCAGACCACTCTATATCTGCACATCATATGTACATATGCCCTTGAGAATACATGCAGCTCAACCACTGACAGCAAATCTTTTCATGCCTCCTGCCAAATTTATTTGTGAAGGCACTGTGTAGCTCTGTCATATTTAAAATTTACATTAATAGTTTTGACATAACCGAACTACACTTTCATACAAATGTGAATCTGGAATATAGCTAATCAAGGAAATAGCTGTGTAGACTCCTGTGCTACCGAGTATGTGGAATCTCCCTCCCTTTTGCATGCATAGCAAACCCTTCATACCCAGAAGGAAGAGGGCGCAACAGCATAGCTGTGCTCTGATAAGGTGTGTGTGGGGGGGCTACCAGACAGGAAGGGAAATTAAATCCTGAGGATGAAGGAAAAATATCAGCTACTTTATGGTTCTTTATTATATTTTTTTCACATAAATTGGTTGATGTCCATTTGTAGGCTAGAAATGTATGAAGCAGAACAGTGGGAAATGCCGCATTTCTAAGCAAGAATCCCAGCTGATATTCTTGCCTCTTATACTAGTACTTTGATCCACAAATAATTCTGTTGGCTTCAGTGGGAACCAGGCACAAACACTGTGTTGGATGTCTTCTGTGCCTTTCTGCATCTTTAGGCATCTTTGAAAATCTAGTCCCAAATTACTGCTTTGCATGAGTAAGTCTAGAATAGTCTCAATCTCCTAAAGTCAAATATTCTTTTATGCAGCAAACGCATAAGATATTGATGTAGCAACAAAGAACAACTCCATTTCACAGTATCTTCAAATACAATTTTTCTGAAATAGTCTTTATGATAACCAAATAAAGACACAAAATTACAAACAGGAATGTCCACTGGAATGAAAGAAGTTCAACTGCTACACAACATTTAACTAAAACAGGTTCAAGTGTTGGTTAAAAACAAGTATTACCTCAAGTTAATACTTGCAATTGTTAATTAAAACCACAAAGTACTAAATCAGTTTTTTTTAATAAACTAGTGGAAATGTGAAACAACCAATCAAAACCACAGCAACCTGAAGGGACGGTTGATTAATACCTGCTCTGCTCCAGCAAAAGCATGGTAGAAGCAGGACACATATGTCATGATAGCTCTCTCATCGGGTTTGGGAGTGTTCACAATATCTACAAAAGGGGGGAAGAAATGAAAACAAAACAAAACAAAAAAATCGAGGAGGAGAAAACAGGATGAATAAATAGAAGCACAACATAGTGTCATTCTGATTGTTTTCTTGTACATAGCTCTGTACTCTAGAAACTCTACAAAGCTGTAATAAATTCAGTGTTAGATTGATGGGTGCTGACAGAATAAAATGTACACTAGAAATGCAACATAAGCTCTTACAAAGAGGTGGAATTTTTTTAATAAGCTTGATCCTGCAGTATTGTCACAGGAGGCGTGACCTTAATTTTACCAGGACTATCTGCTCAAGAACTGGCATGTATATGTCTGGTGACTTGGAATGTGGGGTTTTTTTGACTAAGACACAGGAAAGACAGATACGTTTTGATGTGATGTTCTCTGGAAGTTGCACGTGGATTAGTTTGAACCATAGCACTATATATCAGTATCTTTTATATTACTAATAGCTAACTATGTCCAACTCTGAACTGCTTTGCTTTGTAAATTTTTCCTTCTTTTCATTAGGACATGATTCCAGAGCTCTTCTGAGATGTCTGTGTATGTTTCTGTGTCTATTTTGCACAATAGCAATGTTTTATGTTGCTGTTTGTACTTACCATCAAGCATTTAATATTTTAAAAACAATCCTGAAAGCATAAAAGAAGGGTTTATTTTCTGAGCATCTATTATGACGATTTTGACATCTGTAGCAGGAATAATATCCAGCAGGGAGAAAAAAGATGGCATTCTGCTATTGAAACTGTTTTTTCACTATGAGCTTGCATTTTTAAAGGCGCTTCAAATGAATGCGCACAAGTTCAATTAAAGAGAACAATGTCCTTTATCCCATTCAGTAACCAGCTGTCAAAAACCTACTGGATATTATTAGTAAATATACAGAGAAATGAGACAGGAAGGTTTGTTTCTATGGAACAGACGGATAGACTACTACTGGTTCTACCAAGACAGTAGCTCACAGAGAAAATCAGGCAACAGGAAATGAGCTCAGCTCTAAGATGCTGTCCTAGTAACTAGTGAGGAAAAGATCAGAAGAGGAAAAACTGCTGAAGGAAACAAGACAGAAGGTGAAGGATGAGATCTGATCCATCTTCTACAATCTCACCTTCTGAGCACCAGCAAATGCATGGTAGTAACAGGAAACATAAGTCATAATGGCTCTTTCATCAGGTCTGGCAGTGTTTACTACATCTGTGTAGAGAGAAGAGGGTTAACTGCTCAGAAATTCTCACAAGGTACTTCCATCAGATTATGCTGATGATGCCACCTCAGTGCTCTAGGGATTCAAAATAAATACACCATTATTCAGGTTGCCTCTGTTTACTGATACCAGTGCAAAGCTACCTAAGCTTTAGGAATCAGTAAATGGAAAAGAGGTAACTTTCCCTGAAATGGCAAAACATCTGAAGGCTGAGACTGTACAGAAGGGTATTGCTACCTTCTGATTTGTGGAAACTTCCAAGCAGATGGCATGGCTGGCAGATCTACTAGGTTCAGCTTCACAGTTGCTCCAAAGCAACTTCATCTAAATCACTAGAGTTATTCTGGAGATAAACACAGCCACTGACAGTGGAGCATGTACAGTGTGTATTAGCACGGGGTCCCCATGACTGACAGGGTATTGACATATATTGGAAACCTGTAGAACTCCTGCAGTCCAGAAATACATTTTGTGCTAAGAAAAACTTGGATGGTAACAGTTTTGCAATACCTGTGCCAGATAGCATAAATCACAAAAGAGTTTGGCTTGGCTGGCTGATAGCTTTGTCCCTATTACGGCAGGGAAGAGTCAAAGTATAGAAAGGGTGCAATCAAGGTATGGGTATGTTGATACCTTTTCATGGACCTTTTTTGAAAATTAACAGAGAAAGGCAGAAAAAGGTGGCTTTATGCCAATTACAGCTGAGTAATGAATGATGCTAGTGCAAGCTGAGGATTCCTGCCAGTGTAAGGAATGGGAAGACACTGGTCTGAAAAGACCCGGGAATGAGGTAACAATTTATAATACTAACAGTGAGATTTCTAAGTTCAGGACCAATGTATTCACTGATTTTGCATTTACTTCACATAGTTGTGAACAAAACTTTGCAAAGTTTCCACTGAGAACACCGTAGAAGTAAAGAGAGTAAAAAAGTGATGGTGAATACTTGGAGGGTATTAGAAGAAGCATGATTTCATTTCCCCCTCCCTTGCCAAGAAGGAGTATAGTAAGATAAGGGCTAGAATGTGCAGAAAATCTAGTAAGAAAAAAACCAGTTTCTTACATTGTATGTGACGAAAACAAGGAAAGGAGAATGATAGTAGGAGCTGTTCAATGGTAAGGAGGTAGCTCTTCCCTTTATTCCTTGCACAGTATTCCACAGCAAAATAATTAAGTGGTGCTTGAAAGGGGAATTGCAATTTGAAAAATGAAAACAATCAGTTTTGAAGTGTGAAGGTGAAACCAAGAAACCTGGATTTTCCAAGTCATCTGGTATCGGCCTAACTTTCCTACCAAAGACTTCACGGGGAGCAGACACAGTGAGTTTGAGTGCTCTGGCTAATTCCTGTGTTATCACTGCTCTACTGACAAGCCACTAGAGCAGAGTCTGCATACTTGGAGAAGAATGCTTTGAACTAGTGTAGGCAAATTCCAATTCCAGTATTTTGGCACCATATTTTGCGTGGAGTACAGAAGTTTGGTTACCTTGAAGAAATTCAGAAAACTTTAATAACTATTTCCTTGCTATTTGCCAACAAACTCTAAAGATTATTGGAGAAACCAAACATGAAACTGTTCATTAAAACTATCACTGCAAAAGGTTTACAATGAAAATAAACAAAAAAAATGCTTCCCTCAACCTAGCTGTCTTTCATAGGAGGCATGTTGTTAGTATATTTTGAAAGTTCTGTACTTCTATTTATATTTCTGGCCCTCTCACTTAAACATTTTAAAAAATGAATATGCGTTAAGCTTCTAACAGTTGTATTTCCCTTTATTAGACTTCGATTTTAATTTCTTAAAGGCAAGGATTATCTTTTGATCCTGCATTTTACCTCGATTATCACAGTGGGGCCATGTGCTGAGGTTAGGGTCCAAAGTACTATAATAAATATAAAAAAATAACAAAGAATAAGGAATAAAGCAAAGAGTGAGTGAAATTATCCAATACCTGGGGAATAAGAAGAAAAACATTGTTTGAAAACAAAGCCGGTTGTTCCATTATGATTCATGTGGAAGGAATGTTGAAAATTTGCTCAGTACAAAGCAAAGGAAGTTTTACCATCTCCTGCCTGTGAGTAACACAAACTTCAGTAAGCTATAACTCTCACCTTCTGCATCCAACATTTTAGGGATATCCAAATGCTTTTCAGCAATTTCCATTGCAAGGTTGATATTTCCTATGGGGTCATCCTGTGTTAAAGAAGAAAATACAAATAGTCAAAGATACAAGTTTTTCCTTGAAGCAAGGTTACAGGGGGTACACTAAAACTTATTCTGTTTTTCCAAACTGTAAATCAGAGTCATAACTATTGTTCTTCAAAAAGCAGAGTATAGGTATATGAACTTTTGGTCTATCTACTGCTACACTTCCAAAAGAAAACATAAATAAGCTGTTATGTACCACTAGGACTCTGCTGCAAATATATTCTGGAGGGGAACATAGATAACATATGCAGTGTACACTCATAATGCTGAGCTAATTCTGAATGAAGTACAGCAGTAATCCATATAGCCAAGGCCTCTGGTCCAGTAGGCTATACTAGACCGTTCATCACAAAGTTAGTCCTGCATGCTTTATACAGACTATGTTACATTACAGCAATAAGGTTCTACCGAGCTCTCTGTTGGTCAGGTGCATGCATGAGAAGAAGCAAGCACAGACAGAACAGTTCTCCAGAAGGAGCAAAACTTCACAGTTTTAGCTTGGACAGCAAAATCTGTAATGCCTCTATAAATTGAATTTTGGAGCTGTAGGAATTCAAGAACTTCCTCTGGTTTTGAGATTTTGATTTTGGTTTTTGAAGGAAAGGGAAAACAAGCAGTGAGCACAGTTCAGATAAACAGAACACATTTCACATCTTAGACTACAGACAGCTATTGCTGACAATGGGAGAGCGTGTCAGATTATGGCTGCTCTTAAAGCAGCCTTCCCCTGTCAGCTTGGAGTGAAAACACTCTATGTGAAATGGCAGTTCATGCCATTTAATAATGCTATTATTATTTTCACATACTCACAAACTGCTAAATGGTCATAGCCACCCTGCACAATGCCAATGTCTACAGAGAGAGGCTGAATAAACAGGACATAGAAGAGCAAAGTTAGAGGTGCTGAAAAAATGTTAACAGGTTTTCTGAAGGGAATTTCCAGGGCTTCTGTTTGAATACAAACACTTCGTATAAACAGATCTAGTCTCAATCATGCTTCTTTTTTTATTTTGAAATGAACTTAGTAAGATTACTTACTACAGAATCACATCAATTATTTAAGTTTCACAGAGGTCTGTTCCTCATGCATATACATATGCCAGGTATCAGAAGTAGTAATGCCCATGACACGTCTTTCTATAAACTTATCATACTAGATAGCCTTTCCTTTAAAAGCTGCACATTCCATAAAATGTGTTATGAAGAAGAGTTTACATTTTGAAACCTAAAAATTTGGGTATAATAGAATACAAAGTCTCTAATAATAAATTCTCACTCTATCACCATTTAGCAGTTTTGTGCATCACTGACATTAAGAGGAACTTAAAATGTAGGCAATATTTAAACCCCATGAACTTTTTTTTGCTATTACACAAGACACCATGTGTAAAATAATATTTAGTAAATGTGTATACAAAAACTTACTGAAATTAAATGGGACAAAACAAAAATACACTAAGTCTAAGTGAGACCTTTGACTAGGTCAAAACACTTTGCTTATGGATGAGTGATGAGCACCTTCTATTTGTGTGCTTGGTACTAAGTCCAACAGTAAAATGTGGTCCGCTGGTAAAGGATTTGTTTAAAAGCACAGCAACTTCTGAATCATTGCAGATCTCCATCACCCATCTTTTAAACAAAACTACAGTAACTAAAAATCTCTGCTACAGCTAAAGAAATACCTCATCTAACTTGTCATAGTCAAGAAGATCAGGCCTGTGTCTATGGATAAGGGCGTTGAAAGCAAGGCCATCTTTCCAGCTACAAGTTCACACAAAACACATTGGTGAGAAAAGGAAAGGACAGCATGCAGGAGTTAAGAAACAAGACACCAAGACAGCTGTTAATGTAACCAAAATGAGCAGTCACTCAAATACAGCCAGGCCAGAAAAGCAAGATCTATTTTAGGATTTTTCTGCATGTGCTTTACGTGCCACAGCTCAGCCTCAGTTTGAAACCTGACCTGTTCCTATTTTGGAAACTTCTAAGAGGGAAATAGTAATGCTGAAGCAGATCTGCTTATGTTCTGTTCCCTTTTCTCAGCACTCATATATAGGTTGGTTATACTGTGAAGCTTTTTAGTACTGTGTACCACTTTTCAAAGCATAAATTCAGTCAAACTAACTTCTGTTTGTGCCATGCTTAAGCCCATGTACACAGAGACAGGTAGCTTAGTCATTCCATTAATATGTTTATCTGTGGGAAAGGTTGTATACAGAATTAGAAAACAAGCTGGTGTTGAAGGCTAATATTTTGCCCTTTGGCTCAGATTTGCAGTTGTCTCAACAACTGCCTAAATTAAAATCTTAAGTGTTTAGGGATAAGTTCATTTAATTTTTACCACTGCACACCTTGGGGACCCCAGCATGAATTTAGCACATATATATAAAGCAGACTAAATTTTCAAATAATTTCATTTCATAAATAATTTCATCCCCGGAGGTATTTAAAAGATGTGTAGACATGGTGCTTAGGGACATGGTTTAGTGGTGGGATGGCAGGGTTTGGTTAACGGTTGGACTTGATGATCTTAAAGGTCTTTTCCAACCTCTACAATTCTATGATTCTCTGATTCAATTCATTCATCTTTTCCCACATTAAAGGCTTTCTGCTAACAGCTGATTCCACTAGTAAAATCAATTTGTAGTGGAAGGGCATGGAACAGAAAATACAGTCCATGATTTACTGGTCTCTCTCATCAATGAAAAGTTGCATTCAACAAATTAAAATGATGATTTAACTTTTCTGTTTTACTGGTGAGACCTCAAGACGCATTCATTCCAGAGAGCAGAAAATGGTACGTATATATTGAGAGCTAATGTGAAATGACAACATTCCACTTTCTTTCTAGGTTTTATTCTTAAGTAATGGTATTCAAAAATTCTGACATTATGACTTGCTCCTCATTCCTCCCTCTCAAACCAAAGTGGCTGGTATCTTTTAGATAATGTGCATTTTGCCATAAGTAGTGCACTGTAATAAAACAGTTTTGTAATCCTTGTGAGTTACTAAGGAAGTCAGGATATCAGTTTTGTTTCCACTTATCTGAAAGTATAGTAACTTATTGCATAGTCCTGATTACGAAGGGTAACATTTGTTCTAAGGAATCTTAGGATTAATCATCATCTCGTGTACTGCACTGCAATCTACAGTCATTTACACTAGATACAAAACAGGATGGAGGATGGACTGTACAGTACTATCAGTGGTGAATGGAGAATTCCAGTGTATTTGACTTAACATCCATATTGGGCAGCGTAAAAAACTTCACCAACTGCCTAGCAGCTGAGGACCAGATTATTTGCAATTAAATGCTGAAGTCACTGTAACAGACAGAGGACAGTTATGGGGTCCTTTCCTCCATGTCACTGTTTTTTTTGGAGGGAGCTTAGAAAGCTAGACAGAATTAGTATGCAGTCCTCAGCTTGTGTTTTAGAAAATACGCTAAGCAAACCGGAAGTGAGCCAAATCACTGCAGGACAGCATGCTGTACCACCCAGACTGATGACCTTATTTAGCTTGGAGTAGTCAATAAGATCAGGTCGGTGTCTGTGGATAAGTGCACATAATCCAAGGCCATCTTTCCAGCTTTACAACAAAAAATAGAATGGAAAAAAAGTTAATAAAGTCATGGCATTTTACAGTTTGATCCTTGCTCAAGGCTTAAAATCAAGCAGGAACTCTCCTGTCAAATCCTGACACTCTCATCCCTCTGAGCTCCTCTGTTACTGTACTCTTTCTCCTGTAGTACGTATCTTACATTATGTGCAACAGTTCCCAATTTCAATTGCTTAATTTGTGCAGAGTTCCAGGATAGCTCAGAGTGCACATTCATCAATGGAAGTGCATAATCTCCTATTACACTTCCAGCATGTTTGCAAAAAAATAAAAGGAGAGCAAACCTGCAATTACTTGAATTTGCTGAAGCAATTGGCTTTTTCTGTGTCAGTTATTTTGGACAATTTTAATGGCACAACCATGTTGTGCTCATGGAAGTATGAAATCATAAATCAGTTTAGTTTACTTAAAACACTTCACATATATGACAGCTTTGATCTGAGCTCTAACACTTCAATGTGACATCAGGCCCACTACCTTTCGAGACCGGAATAGGCAATGAACAGAGCGACAAATGCCATCTACTTGGAAAGATTATGAGAGGTTCCTTTCAGCCAGAAGCAATTATTCTGAAAGATACTTCATCTAAACACTTTATGCAATCACTGGGACTGTGGGCTTGAGGTATTATCCTGCGCAGTAATTGTGTGATACTAAACATGTTAATACTGTTAGAATCCATGGTACTGAGATGTCTGGGTAGATCCTTCAAATAACAGAACTATCTCCAACAAAAATGTAATACAATTAAGCAGAATACACATACATTGTATAATATAAATCATCAGGAAGGTAAAACTGAATCAAAATGAACACCAAACTAAAAAAAAGCTTTTTTTCCAAAAGGTACAGACTAAAATGGTCTGGACAGCCCATTGCAAGTAGTTCTGTAAGAGCTGATCAACCCAAACATTAAGCAAGGTACTTCCACTCAAGATGTTTTCCCATACCATGTGTCAGACCAGCATATCTATGCATACATACTAGGATTCTGATAACGTAACTTACAGTATACCCAGCATCCACATAAAGCTCTACTGAAATATACCTCTACATAGTCAAGGATAATAACACATAACAAATTTCATATCTCTTAAAGACCATACAGGGACTGTAAATCAAAAAAAATCTTTTTATCTGTGGATGCATGTGCAAACTGTATCTTCTCTATCACTACATGTGCTTTAGGTGCTGCACAGTAAAAATGAATTCAAAACACCAAAAGACTGTAATACAGAGCTCTTGTTGCAACTACTATAAAGGGCTTCAGGAAAGGCAAGATCACATGGTTAAAGAGTGCAAATTGCAAGTCATGTAGTTTAATGAGGTGGGTCACCGGCAGAGGTACAGGAACTAGCCCACTGAAATCCCCAAACCAGGCAGCCTGCATATGGCCTGGAACTCCCTTTCTAGCCCTTAATGAAAACACAGAACCACAAGGCTGGAGCTTCACGATATTTTCCAACTTAGGTAGTGATCCTGATTTTAAAAACAAGCTTGTTTAAAGTGCTGCTGGTGTGTACTAAGTGCATTTTTGGCTCCTAATTTATAGCTACGTTACAAAATAATAAAGATTGATTCATCATAATGAGATATCTGCATGCTCAACACATTGATATTTTTGCCAAGAACAGTCTATGCCTACAGTGACTCTCATTTGAAAGCAGTCCTTTTCCAAGTCACTACGCTGCAGTACTCAGATATTCCCATATACCAAGGACCTCTAATGATGTAATATGGTCATTCTGTATGTAGTAGGGATTTTTTTCTTTTAAACAGTAACTATGGAAGCCATGGTAAATAATGCCAAAGGCTAACCAAAATAAGACTCTGAAGATAGAGTGTGAGAATTTGAAAAAGTCTAATTAACAGTAAAGAGTGAAATTTTCCTGTCAAAAATATACCTACACAACTGTGGGAAAAATTTGACCTAAAATATTTCAGACTGCTTCTACCCCTTGAAATAATAGAAGTTTACCTAAGATGGAAGTTCTGAATGTTCACATTTCTGTAAGGAGCAGTTTTTCTTTGACACCACAGCAGCAGCCCTTCTTTGGCAGAGGTCTCTGTAAAAGACACCAGGGAGTTAAAAAAGGAAAAATGTAAAAAGTGCTCAGGTAATTAATTTCTTATAATCTTAATGTTGTCAGCCACCCAAAACTGGTTGGCATAAGCCAACATTTAATCCTAAAATACTCATACAAATGGACTGATAGGGCTCCATTGGATGTGAAGGGGAACACTGCCACTAAGGATGAGGAAAAGGCTGAGATACTTAATGCCTTCTTCCCCTCGGTCTTTAACAGTCTGACCACTTATCCCCCAGGTACTCAGCCCCTTGAGCTGGAAGACAGGGATGGAAAGCAGAATAAACCACCCATAATCCAGGAGGAAGCCATTTATGACCTGCTGTGCCACCTGGACATCCACAAGTCTATGGGGCCAGATGGGATCCACCCGAGAGTACTGAGGGAGCTCGCAGAGGAGCTTGCCAAGCCACTCTCCATCATTTATCAGCAACCCTAGTTAACAGGGGAGGTCCCAGACGACTGGAGACTTGCTAATGTGATGCCTGTCTAGAAAACGGGCCAGAAGGAGGATCCAGGGAACTACAGGCCTGTCAGCTTGACCTCGGTACCAGGGAAGGTTATGGAGCAGTTCATCCTGAGTGCAGTCACCAGGCATATGCAGGACAATCAGGGCATCAGGCCCAGCCAGCATGGGTTCATGAAAGGCAGTTCCTGCCTGACCAACCTGATTTCCTTCTATGACCAGGTGACCTGCCTAGTGGATGAAGGAAAGGCTGTGAATGTTGTCTACTTTAGCAAAGCCTTTGACACTGTCTCCCACAGCATTCTCCTAGAAAAGCTGGCAGCTTATAATTAATTTTTAAAACATTCATCTCACTTGTGCGCAATTCATATAAAAATGTCTTTAAACAGATTTCCTAATTATTTAACATAGATGCATTACTATTACCTTCCACTGAAATATCCTGAATAGCAAAGCGAAGGATGATAGTCCAGATCATACCCAGAGTCATTTTCACATTGCCGTCAACAATTTCTAAGGTGAAAAAAGAGAGAGTGGTAGTAGTATTTAGAATGTGTTTTCTGTTTTCTCTTATTTTAATAATAGATTTTTATAAATAATATATTTTGTATTTAATACATTTGTTATATTTCTACCATAACTTTCTATCTACACCGAGTTCATCTGGGTTCATTTTTCAACAAACTCCTGCTTGTGCTACCCTGCAGTAGGACTGAAGCTTACTGAAGTTAAGGTCACTTCAGCCATTCCATGCTAAAAGGCTTCTCTTCAGGTAGTTGTAACTGTCCCAAATATTTACCTTTTAGGCTGACTTTTTCAGAGAGAGCCTGAGGAGAAATACTTATTTAAAGTTTGAACAATATTACTGTTTTCAAATACAAAGGAACTGAAAAAAATATGGTCTTGCCCCAAATTTTAAGAAACTACAGGACATTAATATTATTTTTTAATTAAATGGTACTCAGAAATCCCCCTATACTATTCAGACCTTTTTGAGAATTTTACCTATAGTGCCAGCACAGACTAGATACGAAGAACAGCTCAAGAGACACAGCACCTCCTGAGACTAAGCTACATAGCTTCCTGCCAAGCAGTTCAGAAACATGGCCACGATGTTGTAATATGTTACAGCTCTGATACGTATGCACATATTTATGTATTTTTAATATAAAATGGTATTTTTTACCTCTGTGGTTTCAATTTGTCTCAAGACTGCTTGAGTCTACCTACAACACAGGGCACTAGGAAGATTCTTTCTCCAACCTTTCTCACACATACACGGAGCTCCCTCCACAAGCCAAGTCAGAATGCAGTGTTCCTACATTGTAATAGGAACAGTGACACCACGTAAATTTCTCAACACCAAAAAATGTACTGCCAGATCACTTAAGTATGGTGATAATGTTAAATCAATCTGACAAGTAAGGTGTGAGACTCAGAAGAATACAGTGAGACTGTAAAGGAGGGTCCAGCACTGGAAGAGGAGGAGGTGGGACAATGAGAGGGGAACTGCAGACTGCCTTTCCAGTCACCTCACACTGAAAGAGCACTGGAATGAGCAGCAGGCACAAGCTGCTCCCCTGCTTGAAAGTCACCTCCAGCCTTCCTCAAAAAGTGGAGCAGCTGTGGCTGTCTGGGGGCCCACTGGTATTCTGGGAAAGGAGCAGGAGGAACTTGCATCAGGAGGAATTTCCTCAATTTAACATCAAATGCCAATAGAGGTGCCAGCAGAAAATGCAGTCACTCTGCTACTTACAAGTTGCCTGAATCCAGGGGCAACTTTTAAAGACCAAAGCAGCTACAAGCTCCGAGGCTTGAGATACATGTTAAATTGCAGTAGTATGTGACTTGAGCTGTCATTTGAACCTACAGAATTAACAAATGTGGTAGGAGATATGTCACCCATCACTACTCAATACTTACTCTACTAGTGTGATAATCCAAGTTTATATATGAATGGCTGTTTTTCTGCTTTCCCCTTTGGGTTCTACACTAATTTTCCAGAATTCTTACCTCACTTCGCCTGCCTTCCATGCATTATTACTGTCTGATTGGCCCTGAAAGACCTCAATTCTATTCAAACCCCAAACCTAAACTCTTTTGAATGGCAATTAGGGCATGTAGCTACTTCTCACTCCTTCCTCCTCCTTGGTCAAGTATTTCATTGTATTTCGATCAGATGTCTGATATGTATATACATTAAAGAAGAATTTCTTCAAATGTAAAATAAATGAATTTAAATACTTAGGAGGCATTGCTGATTGTCAGGCAATCAATTCATGGATTTCCATAATGACTACATCATTGTTTTGATTTACATATCCGTATGTACACACAGACAGAATGAAAGAGAAAGAGAGGGAATTTTCTGTGTTGTGCCTCAGGAGAATTTTCAAGCAATTTGCCAGCTTTGGTTTCTCATTATCTACTGATAGCATAAACCACAAAAAACACATGTATAAAAGATAAGGAAAAATATCTAAACAGAAGGAAAACAAAGTTGCTAAATGTTGAAAAGTATCAGTGACAAAAAAATCCTGATTCGTTCCTATCATTTTCCTCTGCAGGTCAATAGAAGACTTCATTATTTTTTCACACTGCCTGTTTGATCTGGGAGGAATACGGTTCCTATACCTTGCATATGCAAAGCTACAGCTTTCTAGGGAAAAAGGTCTTGCTGAGCTATGAGGACAGGAAAGGAGAGAAGGGAAAGGGAAGGGGAAATAATAAAAACTGCCTAGGGAAAAAACTAAGCAAAGCAGTGTGGCAGGTTCTCAAAGGTTTTAGTTTTGGGTTTTTATTCTGCTTTGGCTTTATTTATTTTTTTTTATTCTAACCTTCTTGTAGCAGATTCACAGATAATTTGGTCTTTAATATCTCTCCTTCTCCCCAGAAAAGCATTACAGAAGTGTTTCCTATTAACAGGATACTTCTCTTTTGTGGTTCTCCATATCTCAGTTAATTTCATTCAGGATGCAATTACCTTACAAATGGAGTTATTGCACATTTTTAAAACTTCAGGGAAAACTTCTAACTCTTGGACTGTGAATGGCTCATAAGGAGTACTTTCACAGCTTTTACTTTAGCTTCTTGACTCTCTAGTCTCATTTCATCACCAATGGAGAGACTCTTCCACAAGACAGATCAGAGTAGCTAAATTTGGCTTCTGCTCAGCATCACAGTTAAAGGTGATCACCTCTCTCTTTCCACTCCTCAGACAGCACACATCAGCCAGCCTCAGAACAATATGATGGCTTTAAAGAATATCCCTGGCCCCTTAAAAATACTAAATTGAACTTTGTACTGATGTCCCACAGAAATCACAGTTTAATCTTTGTTTTGAGGCCCCATTTTAAATGCCAGTTGGTCCCCTTGGGCCTAAATGCTCTAATACTCAGCATGTCAAATAATAAAACATGATCCTCAGCAGATTTAGATACAAAATTTTCATGCTTTGGAGATGAAAAAGTATTCCAAGCATCCATGTAACTCAAAGAATGCCAAAAGAGATGGGTGCAGACAAGCCCATATGCCCCATGCTCACACATAGGGGCAGTGAGTTAAGGGGTTAAGGTCTTCGATAACAGTACAAGCTTAAGGAGCCTGTGCTCTGCCTCCTTGCTGGCATTCATTCCATCTTCATACTATAATGACTGCCCAGTCAACAATGCTGAAAAATGCAACAAAAGAAAAAACAAGATGTGAAAAGCCTGGTTTAAGACCAGATCAGATTGCTGATCCAGTCTCCAGCATAGCTACAGAAACAGTTGTCAGTCCAAGGGATAGGGTAGGGCTGTGAAGTGTGGGAGCAAGTATGCAGTACAAGGGGGTGCAGGTACTCTTTAGACACATTTTGGTGCCAGAGGTCCCAGACTGTGAAACTATACCCAGTCAGATGTGATACTGCATTGCTGCATCAGCACGGCACTGTGACTTAGACAACAATTTAGTAGAGGGGATGTGGTAAACTTAACATGGCACTAAGCACGTCTGGGCCAGAGCTGGCTTTCTGTTCAGCCTGTTTAGAGTAGGAGTGGAAGGCACATGAATCTATCTGCTCCTGCCCACATGGATGTAATCCAATGTGTGCTAGTAGCCATACTTGACATAGTGTAATGTCTTATAATGACAGGCTTCTCTCTGTATCTAAGCTATGACAGTAGCAGTGGATTTTCCTCCTGTGCTTCCATCCAAGAATTTAAAACCATTTTTTTAATGCTAATGAATGAATTTTTGCTTCTAATCCCTCCCTTTTACAGATTGAGAATTCCAAAAACAGGCAATAAAACCCTGCAGCACAGCCAAGGACGTTGCCTCAATCTCCTGGCTTACTAACTATGGCCTGCTGTTACATGCAGGAAGAAACATTGAGTGCATGGACAAACATCACCTTGCAGCAACTGGCTGAGATGCTGGAAGAGGTTACTGCCTCTTGTTCCTGCCTCCCTTCCAGAAGGAATTACCTATTGTCACAGAGCATCTAAGCTTATGCCAGTTGTTGCAAGAACAACAGCGTTATTTTAAACGGTTTTAATGGCTGATCTGAGCTATCGCAGATGCTTTGCCTTCAGGTGATATAGAAAGTGCTCAAGTGCTGATCCCTAGTCTGAGCACCCTGGCAGTAATGAGCAGCAATAAGGAGGGCAAAATGAGGGAGATGGGCCTGCTCCTTCCAGGGGTAGATATGAGCTAATGTATCTCGGTTTAAATTCTCCCGCTTTCCTTGACAAACCTAGGTGTGAAAACAGTAGTACATTGTGCAACCTGTGATCAGAGAGAATGACCACTCTGTCCCACAAGATAATACTTTTACTACACACTTGTTTTTGGTCAGGAAGCCTCAGAGTCCCAGCATGACATGACAGATACTACCATTCATTTGCTCCAGACTCTGTACTCTCAGTATTTCTGCACTAGCTATCAAACAGGCTTCTATATTCTTAATTTTCATTTCCACACATAAATTATCTCTTCAGTACCCTCTGCTGTCCATTCAATGCTATGTTGCTCTCAGAGTAACCTTAACTGCAGAGGTTTAGGGTAGTGGCATATTTTTCCATCTCGCTTCATTTAATTGAGCAAAGGACCCAGCTGCCCCTGACTACCTGTACAACTGATGGAGGGAGCCAGGCACCTCTAAAATGCAGTAGAGCTCTTCTGAGATCTGAAGTGTCTTTGGGAATTGCCTGTTTCTCCCCACTGCTGATATATCCCCCCAAAAAGGTCTCTGTTACATGCCTAAAGATAGATGGTATGGATTTGGACTCAGATGGCCCAGCCAGTTCAGTCTCAAATGAATGAAGGGCGAGTTCAAATAAATACTCTGCCCAGAGAACACGGATTTCTTGGGATTTTGAAGTTCTAGATACAGAAACTGAAAACATTTGGTGAGGAACCAAGCAGGCTAGGTCAAACCATTGTGGAATCAATGAATGCTGACAGATGTCTCTGTTACTTCTACAGATGCCCCTATCCCACCTAACGTATCTTCCTGCTCCAACCACAATTACAGTAAGCTCCCTAAGATCAAGGTTTGGAAGCCAGAATAAGGACATCTATAAGCCTGGAGAAATCAGAAAACAGGAAGAGAAGGCTCCTAAATCAATCTAAAAATGCCTAGCAGTGCGAACAGAATACAGCTAGTGCTTCTCACTGTGATACTGAGTTTACAGACAGAGTTTTGCTCTAAGGACATGTTAGAGGCTGCCCCCAGAATGGACAGCACATTACTGAGGCTATGGAACCAAAAGTAGTTGGATATCATGCTAGCCACATCCCTCCTCTGTATGCCAATGGCTGTGCAAAGCGTTATGCAAGTATCTCCATGGAGCAGCTAGTTTTAGACAGACCTTTGTCCTTTTTAAACAATTAATTGATTCTCATAGGAGGCACAGGTTCACTTGCAGTAAAAGCCTACCGCCTTTTGCTCAGAGTTTACAGCTATCAGCATTTAGCTAACCAACTGCGTGGCTTTATTTAACTACCTGAACAAGAGATGAATAACAAAGTAGTAACTTCAGTAAGTAACATCCCAGCCCACTTTCTTCATATGTTCAGTCTCTCCCCAGCTATCATAATTTCTTTTGATCACTCCCTTAACTCTGCATCTGAATTTTAGAAACACAGCTGCCATCCACAGTCAGTCTCATAAGAAAATGGGGGTAGGTCCCAACCACCTGGTAGTGATGTCAGCCTTTGTCTAGTCTGAATAATATCTCCTAAAGATAAAAAAAATCCCAGATTGGATAAAGCACACCCTAGAATCCAACCTGATTTCTAAAGGAGTTCCTTATTTTTAATAATGTATAAGAAAAACATAATGCTCTGAAAGAAGAAATCATTATCTGAATACCCACTGAAACAGAGACAATTCAATTTAACGTTGGAGATAAACTAATCTTAGAGCCCATTTATACCCCTATCCCTCTCCAAGTGTCCACAAATTTCCACCTCTCATCCTTTCACAGATATAGGTCAGCAATCAATATTACAGGATTTTTGAGGCACCCATATATACAGAACAGCCTGTGTAATTTGGCGAAGGGTCTCTGTCAGACTTCTTTGTAATGTGAATACCTACAATCTAAGCAAGGCACATCGTCAAATTTCTGTCACATACCTTCTGCACCAATTGACACAAGTTTCACTCCTTTGCTGGCAATATAATCCAGAGCTTTGTTGACATTAGCAATTTTATGGAAGCGCATCTTCCCTCTGTCTGGTTTTGGTAGTCTCTCCCCTGCAGAATAACAAATTGAAAGTGTTTATTGTCACATATACCTGGTTACAGACATCCAAGTGATCAGAACTCAAGACTGAACATGCCCTGAACACTGTCTAAAAGTTAGCAGTTATTTTAACATGTATTTTTCTGAAAGAATGTCAAATGGCTTTGAACAAAACCCTGAAGAGAAAATTCAAATGTTGAAACATTTGACTTAGGTTTTTCTGATATAGCAGTAAAACCAGAGTAAAGTTTTTATGTTTGCCCTAAACATCTGGAAGATATGTGAGTGCTTCCTGCTCCTCACTTTCTGGTTCATTGCTACTGTCTGTGTTAGAGTAGCTGAATTTTAAGAAGGCAGGATGTTCTCAGAGCTCATCACCCTTACCTGACTGACTGTAAAGAGAGGCTGGACTCTTTCCAGCAGATTAGCCATAGCATCCTTCCACATCTGACCAAGAACAATGGCTTTTAAGAACCTCATCCAGTACAGCAGAGCAGCTAATTTCAGAGCATAGGCTGACGTGTTTGAATGAACTTAACTTTTCAAATGATCACAAAGACTATTAATTTCTGAAAATATGACTCTCCATTTCATGAAGAGCGATCATTTGAAAATCTTCTTTCCCCAATGAAATCTCCAGCAAAGTATAAACTGGCTTTTCCGTAAAGATGCCTTAAAAAATCTTCTTGCCCTTTTCCACCTCTATTGTGTGCATGTAGCTTAAGCTATTCCCTTCACATTCAGGGGCGACATAGTGAGTTTACACCAGTTAATCAAAAGGAGTTCTTGGATGTTCCTTCTGAAAAATGAGACCTTTTACTTGTGACTAAATAGTGATCTAGTTTTACTTCAGGCACTTTTGAAAGCACCGATTTATCCAATAAAGTCATTAAAAGCAAAGCAAAACTTTTATACTCAAAGTGGAATAAAATGAATTTGTAACCAAAGTGTAAAAGCTTTTTAATTGTTAGGGGTCCTCAATGTTTGTGGTTTGTCCAGCAACACTGTGATGTCAGTGATACCCTGATACACTGTGATATCCTGGAATATAAGCACAAAACAGAAGATTGCGGACATAAGGTAAAAGCAGAGCTTTTCTCTCCTCCCTTTTGCTTTACAGTGTGTTTCATCTCTCACTTTTCAGCCATGTAGAGTTTGTGTTCACTGTTTTGAATTGTCAACAATTTTTGTTCGTTTAAGAGTGTTTCAGTTAGCATGCTGTAAACACATATAGCAAACTTTATTTTAGCCAACCTGAGATAACTTCCAAGAGAAGCATCAGTTTGAGGCCGTTTCTGAAGTCCTCCTCAATGTTCTCAATCTGTGTGCCAGCTTTCCTGAGGTGGGAATTGCACCAGGCTGTAAACGTCTGTAATAGAATTAAAAAAACCCCAACTTATCAATAAGGCATTTTCCAAAACAACTGTTAAGCCATCTAGGTAAGCACTGCATCTGAGATTTTCACTGCTGCCTTAGAAATTTGGACGTCCAACTCCAATTGATTTTATATGTGTCGCTGAGTTCAAAATTCTTATCCCATGTGTTCATGAAGATGCAAAGAATTGCTTGATTAGAAGCAATATTGTGCTAGATTCTGCTCCTAAATGCATACCAAAGAAGATCTACACATAAAGGAAAAATTTGTGTAACAGTTATTACTACACTTAACATTTTATGAGCACATAATTTTATGTTGGGACTTACACAGTCTTCCTGAAAAGAAAGATTGATATAGTATAAAGGAAGTTGTGTGGCAGTAAAATGTAGGCAATAGCAAGCACAGAAGCAAAGCTACTATTTTAATTCATGTCATGATAAACAGTTCTTATACAGATGATCTGTGCTAGGAACAAGAAACACGCATTTCTCACAGGCAGGAAATTGTGAGAACACTCTTCAGGATGAAGCAACTGAAGAGAGACTTTACACAGCAAGGATACCAGCAAAATTGCATCTGTTCCTACTTGTAACTACAGTGAGAAACAGAATGCCTTTTGAAAACATGGACAATTAGAATGGGTTTTGAAAGTTTACAGTAATTCAAGCGTGAAGTTTCACATTCAGACTCTGCAGATACGCCCTGCTTTACCAAGGGTTTTGTTTTTAAGCTGTATTATATAATTTTCAGAAAACTAACACTACCAACTTCATGAAACACACAAATGCAGATACTGAAGTTTGCAGGGCAAAAATGGTCACAAAAGCAACTGTGAGCATTTCTCTCTCCATGGAAATAACCAAGTCTGCTTTTACTTGCAGAGATGAAAAGCAGAACTAACTCCGTTGATCTACAGAGGTCATATACACGTTATCTTTTTTATGAATGAAATAAAAAGATGGGCTACTATAAAATTTAGTAGTTAAAATTAGTCTGTTTTTAAATATTCATTACTTCTCAGCCTTCTAACAAACTCTCCTTGCTTTTCAATGTCTTTTAAAACATAGAAAGCAAGTTTGTATTTACTAGGTATTTCACGAGGCAGTGAAACTCTAGGTATGTAGCAAGGCCATACATTTCGGTAAGACTTCAGTTGCTTAAAATTGTCAGATATTTGGAATTCCCCTTCCTTTGCTATTTCAAATTACCATTTTTTAGAAAACATTTAATGTAAATAGTTTAAAAAATAAAAGTCCCCATTGTCAATACGAAATTTCCTTTGGCTTTCTTTTTTCTTGCTTGTTTTTTTAGACTATTTAATTTCTGATCTCTCAGACACAGAATAAGAAAGGCCAGTAGATGAAGGCAAAAAACTTTCCCTGGAACTGAATCTTTTAAATTCTAGGCAGATTTCATAACTTAAGATATGGATTGAATTTTCAAAAATAGTCTATTCTTAAAAATGCAACTTTCTGTTAAAGAATAACATTTTGATTATTGTTGGGTTTGACTCAATTCATGAGAAGAATTTATGTGCAGCTTGCTGGGCTCTTTTCTCAGAGCTGTGACAAGGAGCAGTTTGCTGAACTTAGTTTTATCAACTTCTCTTTTCTAATTGAAAGGAAGAAGCAAGAAGTGCTATGGATCTGGAGTTGCTGTGCAGTGAAATCCCCAATTCTAGATACCCAGAGAAAGGAGAAAATACAGTATCAGAAGTGGTTTTGGGCAGGGGTCATGTTGACCTGCAGAAGATAAGTTGCAGGTAGAGGCATAATAAAGTCGTTCTATGTGCAGATGGAGATAAGTATGTCTGCAGCTGAAGCACCTCTGCAAATACATCTATTTTAATAAAGGGATGTTAGCTTGAAAAGCAGACTGTATTGGGTTTGTACGGAAGGTAAAATTTTCCTCATTCTAAGGTAACTAGCTTTACTGAGCTCATGGGAGACTGAACCAGCGTGTGAGCATCACAACAGAGATACTAGGCACCTCTACCCTCAGGGCTCGACATGATGAGCCTTGCATGGCAATTTGGCACATTACAGCAGACTCTTGGCATGTGGCTTCACACCCTGATGAGTTCCAAACTGGTTTATTTTCCTAGGACTAAACATGGTTATAGGAATGTTACTTAAGGAAGTGTTTACTACGTTTCAGTGATGCAATCCATAAATGACTGTATTAAAAGCTACTGCAAAACGTAACTTTTACCTTTTTAACAGTTTCCACAATTCCACAATTCATATTTATTTTTTATTATATCCTTCTATCCTATTGTGATACCACTTGTTCTCACTGCTTTGGCTTTAACTAACAGTTCTATTCCTACTAATTAAGAAACAATTCAAAGCACGTTTAAGTCCTGGAGATCAAGATACAGCCAGCATATAGTACCCTACAAATTTGTAATCCACTGGGATTTAAAAGCTATTAAATGACTTAGACAAAGCAAATTCCTTTATCTGCTGAGCTGTACAGCACATTTCAGAGTATCAGATTGCCCAGAGAAACAAGGCAGGACTGAAGGCACCAAGCCGAATACCAGGAGGGATACAAGTAAGTGCCTAGAAAGCTAGACATTTCTTTTTAGAGTTTATTTACCATAGGTGGCTCTACAAATTTTAAAAATAAATAAATAAAATTTTCTCCTTTCCAAAGTTGTTACTACAGAAGAAACTTTGCTGACATTCTTAGATGACAGACCACAGAAGAGGGGATGCAGGGCAGGAAACCAAACAATTTGCAGTCCCACAGGTACACATTCTCTTAATGCACTATTCATTGTCTACTGCTGTCACAGGTCTATTTCAGAAAAACTAACTCCAGAAAAGGGAGCACAATTTATGTTCTATGCCCACTTAGCCTCATTGTTAGGACTGCCAATAGCATATTCTCTGTAATTTGGATTCATAGATCTGTGATGGCAAAGTATGTACCTGAGAAAAAAAAAAAAATCTTACCTCATAATTGACTCAGGCCACTTAATTTTACAAGCCCTTGACAAGTAGAATTGCTACCAAGGGGCAGAAAAAAGAGATATCCCTAATCAATTATCAATCAACTGCAGGTAATACCAAGATTAATAGGCTATGCTCGCTCTGTGCAAATATTTTTACACATGCACAATGAAGGACATGCTTTGATGGAAAAAGTGGTATCTCAGAGAGCTGAATTGTCCTATACTCCTGAGAAAGCCAACACAACCTTTTTATTTGAGTGTAATGATAACTTACTATTGATAGTGCTCAAAAGCCAGAAAACAAGACACTATAATAACAAGTTTCATATGTGCTTGTGATAATAGGGATAAAGAGAATTGAAAAACACCAGTTATCACCCTCTTCAGTACTGTTACCCATTGGTGGGTCACAAGACAACTTGTTCCACCTGCTGAAGATACAGGTTTGGCACTGACAGTGAGTCCAAAATGTACATGACCAAAACAGCAGTATAATTTGCATGTGGACATGTACAGGCGATATACTCCACAAGTTCTGGAAGATTTATTTACTTGCACTCAGAATTGAAATTGAGAAGTGGATCCAGTTCAATAAGGATTGGAGAGCCGTATGCTATTCAGTACATATATCTCATAACAAAAGTTAACACTGCCTTTCACTCTCTCCAACTCAAATAAATTAATCTGCTATAATATTTACAAGATTTAAAAACTAATATTGATTTTAAAAGGCATGTTAAAAAAGGTTTGTCTGTACCCCTACCAGAAAGGCTACTGGCCCAAGAGTCATTTGGTTTTTGAGTTTCCGGCCCTTCTGTAACATTTACATAAGAAGATATAAACAAAATCCAATTTTAACCTATGAGTTATGAACAATACTGCATTAATAGGAAATGTAATACTTCCTGTCTCTGTTAAGTAAAGCAGAAGCTCAACTTATTTTAAGTGGACTTTAAATTCTAATACCCAGAGCAGGAGAAAATACCTGAAGAAAATTAACTTCAAATATAAATATTCAACACATTTGTTTATATATATGTGTTATCCCTAATTATCTCAGTCTGATAGAATTGTTTCCAAAAACTCTGCTTTATAGCCCTTCTTCTAAAGTATTTTTCCTCCCTACTTGTGCTAGCTGAGGGTCTTCATTACTTCTAGGCTAAATGGGATTCAGTGATTCACTCTGTAGTTATACAGAACATTACTGGGCTCTGAGCGCATGGCAAGGGTGTTACAGAAAGAGCTCTGCCAGAACATTCCCACTAGGCCAAACTGAGGTTTCCCCTTGAAGAATTTCCCATCTGTCTGTTATCCATGTTTTAAAATATAAGTTGTGAACCTGTAACACGATCTCCTAGATCCTGTGTCCACACAGTGTTCTAATGACTGCAGGATCAGGGCATTTCTCTGCGCTTGGGATACAGTTTGCGCTGGCCCTCATTCTCTTAACTATTTAATTCTGCTCCCAAAAGAAGTGGCATGAAGGTGAAACACAGCAGAAAATTGCACAGCCTTTATAAACTAGCTTGATGTGAACTACACATAACATCTTTTAGATATTCCTAGAACATCTAGATCAGCTGTACTTTTAGTATATTAGGTGCACGAATGTATTTTTATGAATTGAAAATAAATAAAATCTTACCTCTTACGTTTGAATTATAATTAACTGTCCCCTTGTTCTTATCTCCTCTTGCAGTGGAAGCCTAAATGCATTGGTACACGTTAGTGAAATAACTAGAGGAACTATAACAGGAGTGGTGGTTCACCAGTACAACTCGATCATGGTAGGCAAAGTGGGATTTTAACACTAAACACACCAGAGCACAGCAACAACTCAGATGAAGCACAGGGGAAGCATAGTGAAGGATGCCATGAAGGCTAAGGTAGAGAAGTGTTCCAAAAGGTCATTAAAAGGAAACCCTCAAATCATAGGCAGTATGTCAAACCCAAATTCCTGGGAACAACAGAAAGGATAGCACAGAACCATCTCACAAAGGAAGTTAGTAGGAGCTCCATCACAAGGTCCTCA